CCAATACTATTATGGACTACTGGACTCTTTTAGAATATTTTGCTGAGTTTACACACCTATAATATTCAAATAATGGAACTTAACGAAAAAAGGGTATACAGATGAATGTCCATTTTGTATCTGTGTATTAAAAGTGGTTAGGACAGATATATAGTTGCATTCTCTTAATGAATAGAGTGATTTGTTCTAATGGTGTTTGTAAATAGGATATCAGGTCCACAACTTGTACAGCAATTAACCACTAAGAAGAATGTATGCAGTGTGTTAATTATTGAAACTGTCCAACCAATTTGATTTGAAACTGTCTCATTGCTATTTGTTTATCAATAAAATTATGGGGGGAAAAAAATCAAGTGGGAGACGCTGCTCTAGTTGCTTCAGCCCAGTGCCCAGGCATGTATTTTTTTAAAGCACCATAATAATGCGGTGTGCAGTTTGTAGCCTACTCTGGTAGTGCTGGCCCCTGCGAGATGTTGTGGTGTCAGGAAGATGCAAGCCTTTGACAGAAGCCTTCCTGGAACCTACTATGAAAGCCAGGAAGGGTGGTCGTGGTGGTATTAGCAAGACGCAGCCAGTCCGCGGGCCTTTGAGAGCACGTAGGGTGCTTGTTGCTACATCCATGTGGTGTGCTGTGATTAGTCCCCTGTTGGCAATTTCATTGAGTTCTTAATGTAGTAAACAAAAGTATTTAGGGCTGGCCAAATAGGTCAGTGGATTAAAGCACCTGCAAGCAGGGACAGGGGCTGGGACTTAGGGTTCAATCCCCGATCCCCTGCCTGCTCCCCCCCCACCACACTGAGATGTAACTGAGACCGGGTATGGTGGTAAGCACCTGTAATCCCAGCTCTTGGGAGGCTGTAAACAAGAGGATCACTATGAGTCTGATCTAGTAGTAAGACCCTGAATACCCTGTAGATCCTTCTCTAAAATACCAAAAAAAAAAAAATGTTTAAGCAAAAAGCTCAAATAACCACACCCTACATCTTAGAGTTGTACTAAAATTTCAGTATTTCAGTACAGTGTCTGGGAACTAGAGGTCCTATTATTGAAGTTCAGCAAGACTAAAAAGCATTGTTTTAGGCAAAACCTAAGGATAGCAGAAAATTGTAAGAGCTTTAAGTGCTAACAGGACTTCCCAGGTTTCCAAGCATTGTTTTTCATTATTAATTGTATTGAGAAACAAATAGCAATGAGACAGTTTAAAATCCGATTAGTAGGACAGTTTCAATAATTAATACATTGCATATTGTTGTCTTTGTAGTGGTTATTCATAGTACAAGAAGCAGACATGATATCCTGTCCAAACAATATTAGTACAAATCTTTCTTCTCATTGAATTAAGAGAAAGTAGCTGTATATCTATCCTATTTTGTGTATAGATACAAAATGGTCCTTCATTTGTATCCCCTTTTTTGTTTAGTTTTGTCAGAGATGGGTATTCCCTTGCCATTTAAATATTGTAGGTAGTGAATTCAGCAAAACGATCCAATATAGTCCAGTAGTCTATAATAGTAGTGGGTTGTCCATAGGACTGGCAATGTCAATAGTTGTTGCCTTGAGCCTTTTACAGCTCAGCCTATTAATATGGCTTTACTTTTCATACTTCATTTTTATACTTTTCTGCTGGATGTTTAAGACCAAGATTCTTTTTTTCATGAATGCTTCTGGTCCCCGTTTTGTGTCCCAACTCTGAGAACAAGAGTATAATTTTTGTAGAAAACCTCATTTTGAAATCCAGGCTTTTTGTCCTGTGGGGTAAAAGAGCTTGTTTTATGGGTGTGTGTGTGTGTGTGTGTGTGTGTGTGTGTGTGTGTGCCAAGTCCTGATCTGGATCAGCTGCCCTGGCCTAGGCGCGAGCTATCCTGCCTTCTGCATTCCACCATGTCCCGCGAGGCTGGGGGAGCAGCCTCCACATCGCAGGGTGGTGGCACGAGATCACAGGGAGACCACAGCAGGGCAGCCACCGCGGGCAGGAAGGCTCACGAGGGCGTGGTCTGTGGGCACACAGTGTTTGAGATGCAGTGACAGCAGCAGCCGCACAAGGCGGCTGGACTTCAGGATGCTCTGGGGGCCAGGCTGCTGCAGAGGGCTGCCCTCCATCACAGGAGGGGGCTCGGGTGGGGAGGATGAGCAGGCATCTCTGCTGCTGGGCATTCGCTGCAGTACTGTCCTCTCTGCACACTTGAAGTTGCCTTAAATGGTGTCCTCCAGGGTCATCCACACAGAACGGCAGTGCGTTGAAGAGGGAGCTCTCCGGAGGAAGTTACAGTGCAAAGCGACAGCCCATGCCCTCCCCATCAGAGGGCTCTTTGTCATCCGGAGGCATGGACCAAGGAAGCGATGCCCCTGCCAGGGACTATGATGGAGAGGTGAGTGGGCGCGTGTGGCTGGCAGCTTTCTCAGGAGGAGGAGAGCATGGACCCAGGGCACCCCACCGCTTCACTGGAGCCTCTACTGGGTTCACTCCCAGCCAGGGGCACTAAGCTTGTAAGACCAAAGCTTTCCCTGACCCAAAGACTCTGGGTGACTTTTGAATGAAAATGCCTATATCTTCAAGGCCTACAGAAAGGAGTGGGCATTTATTCTGTGCCTCTTAGCTCCCAAAGAGCGAAGTAAAGAAGTCTGACATTCTAGGAGGCTGAAGCAGAAGGCCCCGGCAATGTAGCAACATAGTGAGACCTTGTCTCAAAAAATATTGTGGCCAGCCATGATGCACATGCCATATAATCCCAGGATTTAGGAGGGCTGAGGCAGGAAGATTGCAACAAATTTGAGGTCAGCCTGGGCTATACAGTGAATTCAAGGTCAGTCTGAAATGTCAGCAAATGAATGAATGAATGAATGAATGAATGAATGAATGAATGAATGAATGAATGAAATTCCACATAACTCAGTATGGAGGCCTTAGATTCAATCTTAGTCCTACAAAAGGAAAAAAGACCAGAAGCTCCTTCAGTCAGGGTGGCAGGTGGGACCTGCGGTGACCTAAACACCTTGCTTCTGGCCTTGCAGGACTCCGACTCGCCGAGGCATTCCACAGCATCCAACAGCTCCAACCTGAGCAGCCCCCCAAGCCCAGTTTCACCCCGAAAGACCAAGAGCCTCTCCCTGGAGAGCACGGACCGCGGGAGCTGGGACCCCTGAGCCCCGGGTGCTCTGCCCACACCCCTCCACCACCTTCCCCACTTCCATCTCCTCCTCCACTTTGGCTGGAGCCCAGCAGCGGCCGAGTGGGGCACACGCTTGCAACATGACACTGGCCTGGCAGCACCATGCCCCTGGCCCGCAGCAGCCACGCAGGCCCCTTCCCTGCGGCCGAGGTCGACGGCAGGTCATTCCTGCATAGCGTTGCTTTCAGTCACATTTACTCCCTGGCCCCAAAGGTAGCTTCAGTAGACAGATTACACAGTGTAACTGTACGAGTGAGACTAGACAGGTTTGTTTTCACAGTAGCACCTCACATACCCTCAGAGAGCACCTGGGATTCCGCACCAGAGGGACCCAGCCTGTGGAGGCCACTGCCCTCCTCAGCAATTGTTGTCGGAACCCCCCTGAATCCTCACAGATTAAAACAGTGCATATTTTACTACAGTACAGAGTTTAAATAAATACATAATGTAGAAGTTAAATGCTGAATGTATATAGTCAAAAGAAGCATCTTGTAATCAATGAGATGGATGCATATATCAGAGTGTTTAATTTAAGAGATGTGTTGTTTCTTGTCTATTTCCAAGCTAAGTCACATACAGGGTAGAAAGGCTTCATGCTGACATTGGAAGAGGGAAAGGGGAAAACTGAGGTCCCTGTGGTGCCCCGGCCTCACACTGGTGGCAGGCCATGGTCATCTGGGTCCTTAGGGGACATCTGGGGACACTGGCTTCATTGATTGCAACCTGGGCTCCTAGAGTTGAAACATCTGAAACCACTTGAGCAGTAGCTTCAGAGGCACGCTCACCTGTACCTGGGGCATGTCTCTTTTGGCGATAGAATTGAACCACACTTAGGTATCTTCTGCAGGTGAGTGTAGAGATGCGGTGCCGTCACCCTCTGATTGAGCCCTTCCATCTGAAAGGAGTGTTGTGGCTTTTGCAAGTTCATAAAAAGGTTCATAGAAGTGTTTTTTCTCCTGGGTGAAAGCGAAGTGTTTGTCCCAGGGCTAGGGATGGCTTCTGAACAAGGAGGCTTTTTCCTCAAGGGTGGGTAGGAAATTCTTCAGATGGGCCTGGGGGGAAAGGCTTTTATTACCAAATAATAAGAAACCTCAAAAGCAAGGACTTGAACAGCCTTAACCAAATACTCGTTCCTAGAGCAGTGGTAAGTGGGTGGGATGATTCCTGGGCGCAGTCAGCAAGTGACCCAGGGTGGCCAGCTTCACTGGATGCCCCCTGGCTCAGTATTGCCTTGTTAGTTGTGTTTCCATTTGGATTTCTCCTGCTTTCCAGGAGGAAATGAGGTCCAGAACCAAAAGAACTTAATGCTGTAGTCATTTCACCCTTCAAGCACATGAACAGAGAAAAAATAGCTCATGGAAGAGAATCTGGCTCTCTTTTCACCCAAGTTTCTGGAAGAAATAGAAGCAGGATTTTGTCATTTTCTTAATTTGGCATAAATGAAGAAAATCCTCCTGCAGTTGCCAGCCTGGGTTGCAGTATCTGAGCCTTGCACCACTGGTTTGTGGTGCTTCTCATGCTTTGCCTGATAGCATGCTATAGGGCCCTGGCATCCCCAAATGCATGCCACTTTATGTAGAAGGTTCTCGAGATTCAGCGAGGGAGGAAGGGATCTTTTGGGGGATTATGTGCCCAGTGCTTCTAGCAGTGAACTTTAGACACTCCGACACTGAAGCATTCTGCATTTGTTGCTGTTCAGGTTTGGTTATATTTTATTCTCAGTGGTCACTGTTCCCAGTGTAGCTCTAATCTCCCAAATAGTTTTGCTTTTGGAAAAGAAGTAACATATAAATACTTTATACACCCAAATATGGGGGCAGGGCTCAGAGCTTGAATATTTTTCCCATGTGATTCTTGTGGCTGCTTAAACTTGGCAGAGGAGAGATCCGCTAGCCTGGTGCAGGCGCTGCCCCGGCCACGCGCCACCCTGCCCTCTGCTCTCACCTTCGCCGCTCTTCTTTTCCCAGGCCAAGAATTGTAGGGCTCCATGCTAAGCCATTAGTCTGTAGTTCTGCAATGAATTGTGAACTTCTGTTGCCTATAGGTGCTTATTTTTCAAAGTATACTTTTAAAATTAAAATAACAAAACTATCTGAAGGGTAGGCTCCAACACCGTGAGTCCAGCGCCTCCAGGGGCAGGTGAACGAGGAGCCCATGGCCAGCACCACAGCACTGTTTCCCTCAGCAAGCCTAAGCAGACGCTGAGCACAGGATTTGGAGGGAGAAACTACCAGGGCAGTAATTCTTATGGACATTTTCCCAAGGTGATGATCAGCCTTCTGGGCTTATCCCATTCCTAAATCTGAGGCCATGTTCCTTCAGAAGCTTCTGAAAGGTGGAGAATAGGTTCCAAGAAAGGGAAAATGTAAGGACCACTCAGGTCAGTAGCAAGGATCATGGGCTATGTTGCTGCCAGAAGTTGTTTTGTTTTTGTTTTTGTTTTTTTAATGCAGGACCCTTTCCTAAAATGTATGTGGCAATGGGAATTAATTTTTCAGTAGAAAGAAGGAAATGCACTAGAGACATTTCTGGCATCAGTCTGTGTTGATACTTGGTGCTATCTATGTCCAACCAATTTGTTACCTACTCTTGAATTCTGGCTAATCTTATCATGTGCTTTTTGGGTGTATAAAATTACACACACATTTCTTTTTGCCAAAACAAAAACCTTCCTCGTCAAATTGTTGCTAAAGGAGATCTCACTTTAGTTTGATACCATACAGCACCCTGGACACCTGGCAACGTGCATTTTCTCCGGGGGCGGGGGGAGCAGCTTTCTGGCTGTCGGATACAACTGCAGAGGGCCCATCTGTTTGGTTTCCCAAGCAGTCCTGTACCCAAATTTCAGGGGAGAATCTGAAATTCCTGCTGTGTTTACAGCAGCAGTCTCATTTCCAGCTGGCTCAGCCTCACTGTTCACTGTCCTTCCTTAATAGTTAGAATTGTGTTATGTCATTACTTAGTGGCCACATGTGTTTTGGAGAAGAACCAGTTGGTTTGTGTGGAATCTCAGGTATCATTAGGAGAGGTCAGCGCAGGGGGAGCAGATGTCCCAACCCGGAGAGGTGACAGTGACCACACTCTGCTCTCCTAGCCCAGTGAGAACAGCAGAGGCCCACTCCCCCCCATAAACCAAGGGCACTCAGCAACCTGGTGCCCCCTGTGGGTCACTGGGCACATGGAGGCAGATGGGCATGTAGAGAAGCTGCAGGGTATCTCAGTGCGCCCCTTGTAAACGTCTTTCCTTGTCATGACCTCCCTCGTTCCTCAGAGCCAGTGCTGGATGGAAGTGGAGGCAGCCAGGTAAGGAGAGCCCCACTTCGCAGTGCTGGGTTCCTCTCCCTTCCTTGGGGCGACACCATGCGACATAGGCACTGCAATTATGGGGACACTGACCACCACAAATCAACCTTGATGTCTCATGAAAACAAAATGACCTGCCTTTTTATTTGATAGTGTATCATTTATTTTATAAATTTTTAGGGATTTTTTTTCTCATTGTAATATTATTGTACAGTTTTGCATGGCCTGGATGTAATCATTTTTGTTTAGAATATAATGCTGACCAATATGTGTTTATGGAAGGGGAAAAAGATATGCTTTGGCCTCTTATCACTTATTTTGTTTGGTTTTATACCCTCCGTGTCTTAGGGAACTTTATTAAGAGATTCTCTGCTACCAAACCATGATGTGGATTCTTTTGCACAGAACTATTTAAGGTGGGATAGTCAAAAATGTTAACAAAAGACTCCTCACCAGTCATTTTATGTTGGTATCACTTAATATTAACCAGACTTGGATGTACTGCAATAAAACAGGGAGCTGTTCAGCCTGAGCCTTTTGTCTTTCTTTCCCGGCCTATGAGTCCGAGCAGTGGGAGGGTGCCCGACTCGGGCTGACCGGAGCCTGCCGCAGGGCCCTCGCCAGCAGGGCCTCCCTGCACTCCGGGGGATGCGGCCGAGTTGCCCTCTGGTTCCCGTTCCCTCTTTGGAGCTCCTGTGAGAAGTGTCAGCCTCCTGTGAAGCTGCAGTTCCCCTCTGGTGAGAGCTTCCTGATGGCTGTGCTTCAGTCCACAAGACTCGCTCCCCCTGCGCAAGGTTTCCGAACACTGAATCCTTTGAATCGGACATTGGAGGACGGACAGGTAAGGCTGGGAGCTATCCTGAGAGAAGTCCTAAACTATGAAACCTCCTGTTGCCATCGCTGTGTGACCAGCAGGACCTGCGGTGCTTGGGGGCCACAGCTGTGTGGTGGTGCCGAAGGCCTGGCCTACTTTCTCTGTGCAGGGCAGTCGCATGCTCATCTTGGGAGCTGGGTGCCTGAAGTCTCTTGTAGCTCTTCACCTCTGCCACTAGGGGGCAGATAGCCCACTGATGAGCAAGAACGGTGGTTGTGCTCCTGTGAAACCTGTCTTCACGAGCACAGTGGACGCTAGGCCCGTGGACAGGAGCGTGCTGGGCCCTGGTGCAGCTCACAGGGACCGTCAGACCAGGCCATGTTCTGCCGCTCACTGCTATCTGGCAGACCTGTGACCAGTGTTCTCCATGATGCCCACTGAGTGTCAGGAGACCTGGCTATGCCAGTCCCAAGAGCCTCGTCTGCCTGTGGTGACCCACCAGGCTGCTTGAAAGCTTAGGGGCATCTAAGGTCACCTGACCCTGCTTGTCTAGCACAGGCACACAGTAGGACACAGTTACAGTACCATGACTTAGCACAGGAAAACACGCATGTGCTGGTTGTGGCAGTAAGAATGTAACTATGAGGTAACCACCTGTGTAAGGGTGCTACAATAAAGACGCAGGCGGCGTGCTCTGCCCCATACTGCCTGCCACTGCTGTCTCACACACATGTATTCACCCTTCACACCTCACCCACAAGTGTCCCCTGGGCCTGCTCACATGCATCCGGTCACTAGATGTTAAGAATAAAGCAGAAAGTCCTGGGTAAAGTTATATTCCCCTGCCATCTTTTATTCTGAGCGGAGGCCACAGCCACTCAGTACCTTGATACTGTTAGAAGCCACCATAGGTGCACAGCAGTATGTGTGGCCAGCACCCTGCATCATTCTGAAGCTGGTGCTTTCCACACTGCTTAACCAGGAGTCAGGGTGGTAAGGGGTCTCCGACCTGGGTGCAGTCTTGGTCAGTGGCTGCTGCTGTTGTCTCTGCTCCCATCCTCTTCATATACGGCAGGCTTATTTGTTAGGGCTGAGAGGAGGGGGCTAAGGGCTCTGGCAGGGGAACCTGTGGACTCGGGTGTGGCTGCCCCAGGTCTGAGCCACTCCCTCGAGGACCACATCCCTAAGGGCCCAGCCAAGACCCAGTATTCAGAAGGCCTCCCTGGGACCAGCCAGACCTCCCATGGCACATGGAGGCCAGCATGGCTGGGACATCAGTCCCAAATCACAGAAGATAAAGACTCCTCTCCACATGGGAGGGAGAAGGCCGGGGTGACGCCCCCCAGTTCAGTGCTAGTGAGCAGTACCACTCCTGTGAAGAGACCCTTCACACCCACACGCAGCCGACTGGAGCCCCCCAGTCACCCCATGCTTTCCTACTGCTTATAGGTCTGGAAAAGTCCCAGCCAGACAGACAGATGCCTGTATGCAGGCCTCACTCGCTGGCAACGCTGCCCTTCAGGATGCCCCTCGGCTTGCCTCACAGTTCTGCTGCGACACAGGGCCCCGCTCCACAGCACGGCATAGCCGTGCGCCCCGGCTTCAGCAGGCCGTGAGGGTCACGGTAACAGCGGCTGATCCTGGAACACCCAGGGGCAGACCAGCTGTGCAGGAAAGACCCACTGCCTTGGGATGGGGCCACCGTGCCTCAAAAATCTTGAAGTCATTAAAGCGAGCAACAAGAAGGGCACAGTCCCATGACAGTTTCCACAAGCACTTTAATTGAACTGAAACAAATCTGGTCATTACAAAGTTCCCAGCACCTGTGCCGACCCTCGGGCGGACGCACCAGCCAGCACTGCCACCTCCGGCTCCTGTCTGCCCTCTCTGCAGAGAGGGGGCCTGGACGGACAGACAGGTTAGCTGCCCACAGCAGGTCGGCGACAGCTAAGCAGCCCCAGCACAGATCACGGCACTCACCGGCATGGTGCCCCAGTGCCACACCACAGGTGGAGCAGAAGAGGCACAGAGACACAGAGCACTGGGAACTGCAAGCCGCACAGCACCGACGACGTCCAGGAGCTGCTGGACAGCAAGGAGCGGGAGGCGGCCTGCCTGGTCTCTGGCTGACAGGACAGGAAGCGGGAGGTGGGAATACCCCGCCCCGCCCCGCCCTTCGAGATTTCCGAGGGCAGATTCTCCGGGAAGAGCGGCTTCCACTGCCCCTCTGCCCTTGTCATTCCACCCACTTAGCGTGAAAACTGCATAAAGCCTGTTGGGATCCTCGGGCCCAGCAGGGAGCCCGGGACAAGGTCACCGCCACCTGGGGTCCGCCTGGGGCTACTGCCGCTCCACCTGCATCTGGCAGTAGTTGCTGTAGGCCTCCTCAAACATGGCCTTGCAGGGAAAGCGGGCCTTGAGCTTGGAGCAGATGAGGAAGGAGCCGCCCATCTTCCGGTGCAGCGAGTAAGTCTCCTCAGGCGGCGGGACCAGGCGGTGCTTCAGCATGATGGGGATGAGGCTGTGGATCTTTTCAGTGGTGCTTTGGGTGCCAAAATCAAACGGCTCCTCAGAGGCAAAGGCCTCACCCAGGATGAGGATGGCATCCAAGTGGGCGTCCTCCATGGCCTGGGGAGAGAGGAGGAGGAGTGGCAACAGGACCAGGTCCTCCGGAGTTCCCCTGAGGGTAAGAGGAGTTGAGGGGACACCTGGGAGAGTTCTTCCATGGAAACACTAGCCACGTGACTGGACACCAGCTGAAAGGGTGGGATGGGGCCCACAGCGAAACCACATTCTAGGTTGAACAGAATACTTCTCTGGCTGGAAAGAACAGACTCTGAGCTGGCAAGCCTGGCCACATGCTGGGTGTGGCACTCAGCAGGTTCCTCACTGTCCCGCACAGGGTATTCAGGGAGCAACCGCCCTGGCAGAGCACAGGATGGACAAGGACAGACCGTGGACAGCCAAGGTGGGGAGAGACACAGCCACACTTTAGTAGGAGGCCGTGACACTGCACAGACAGCTCCACAAGCATGCAGCAGAGGCATCAGCCCACCAGCCTGTCACAGTACTTCTCCCCAAGCAGAGACCAGGACTGGACCTGGACTCCATCCCAGTTCCCAGTACCAAGGAAAGGACAGTGCTGCTCATTTGTGACTTCTGGGCCCCTTGTTACAGGCCAGAGCCACCCTCCTGTGCATCTGTTAGGTCCCTGACCTGCCCCACTGGGGAGGCCCATAAGCCGGCTGTTCCTAGCTGTCCCAGGTTCCATCCTTTCCACACCAAGGTTCTCAAGATTTTGGAGGAAGCAGCAGCTGCAGCCCACACTGGCTGACCACCAACAAGAGCCACACAGCCCGGGTGGTGGGCTCACCTTGACCTCGTAACCGGTGAGGAACTTCATCTCGATGGACTTCTGGCGCACAGCCTCCCGGTCCCGGTCAGCAGCAGCCCTGATGATCTGAAAGAGGCACAAGACAAGGTCCTCAGGCCCCTGGCCCATCCTACCTCACCCTCTTCTTCTCCCTCTCCTTCCACAAAGCCCATGGCCAGGAGCCAGGGCTGGTGCTGCAGCCCTTACAGGTGGTACTGCTCACTAGCACTGAACTGGGGGGCGTCAACCCTGGCCTTCTCCCTCCAGCATCTACTCCTAGCCCCAGAAAAACATGGGCCCAGTCCAGGTCCCTCCAACCTCACCTGAATGTAAAGATCAGTGAAGGATCTGTCATATTCCCGTGTGGCCCCGAAGTCCAAAAGAGCCACCTGGGGACAGAGGCAGGGAAGGGTGGCCTGGGGGCACTGAAGCCAGAGAGACCATCTCTACAGGGTCCCAGAACTCATGCTCACTGCTGAGTTCCCACACACAACAGGCTGGGGGCCCTGGCTCTCACTCAGGAGCTCACCTTGTGCTGCTGGGGGTCGTAGAAGAAGTTAGACCAGTTGGGGTCTGTCTGCATGAAGTGGAACTCAAATAGCTCTCTCAGACAAAGGACCAAGATGTTGTAACAGATCTGTGATGGGGAGTGGTCAAGTAGTGTCAGGCTGCCTAGCAACTGCAAGGGGGCTAAAGAAGCCCCCAAATCCCAGCTTCCACCCTGACCCCTGCCAGGTTGCAGCTGGGGAACTGACACTGGCACAGTAGGACAGCAGCTCATACCCACCTCATTTCGAACCTCCTGGCTCAGCCCCTCAGCCTGGTCCAGGGGAAAGCCAGACACCAACTCCGTGGTGAGCACATGGGGGCTGCAGAGCTCCTCCACGATCTCAGGCACGTAGAAGAAGGGGTGGTCCTTCAGCAGCTCCCTGGAGGGGTGGGAAGTCGCACCTCACCAGTGCCCACTGCCCCCCGCAGACACCCACTAGACAGAAACCCTGCCTTGCTGGAGTGGAGTGGGGTCCACTAACAGTCTTGGAGCAGGAGGGGTCATCCTCCAAAGCCACCTAGAAGAGGCCCTGCCTCCTGGGGACCTTTTAGGTGTGGGCGGCAAGGAACTCACCGGAACCTCTTTGCACAAGCGGCCTCCCGCTCATAGTCGCATTCAAGGGCCAGCTCCCGCCTCAGCACGTCAATCAGGTGCTCTGGGAACAGGCCTGGGAGAGGGGGCCAGGGTGTCAGGCAGGAAGGGCACAGGGCTGTGGCCCCCAGGGCCTGGCCCTGCACCTACCACCCACTCCTGCCCAGAGCCACAGCACTGCCTCAGACCTTCAGGGAGCATGTTGCTCATGTTCAGCACGGCCATGAGGTTGTTGACGTCACTGTTGATGCTCTGAGCCACACCAGGATACTGTGGGGGATAGGAGTCATCTGGGTGGACAAGGCAGGAGCCCTTGACGCCACCACCCTCCGCACACCTGTTAGCACCCCAGCCATGTCACACTCAGGGCCCTCATTGCAGCCAGGGGAGCACAGTACAAAGGCACCCACCTGGATCTTCATGGCCACCTCACGGCCGCCCTTCATGCGGGCCAAGTGCACCTGACCAATGGAGGCGGCCGCAAATGGCCGCTCCTCGAAGTACTCCAGCTTGTCCCTCCAGTTGGGGCCCAGATCATTGTTGAGCGTTTTCTGGAGGAGAAGCCATGGTGAGGTGCACAGTGTGCCCCTCAGGTGGAGGGGATCAGGCAGCCGCCCCACATCCCCTCACCAGCATCTGTTTCAGCGGCATGAAGTCAGCACTCTGCCGCACGCGCTCAAAGACCTTGGCCAGGTGAGGGTTGATGAATGCGTCATCTGCAAGGCAGACACCACCGCTCAGGCCAGCGACTGGATAGCCTGCACCTGGTGCCCGGGAGCAGGAGGCCAGGCCACCCAACGCTCTGCTCCCTCCCCGCACCTAGGCCATCCTTCCCACAGGCCCACACGGAGGCTGCAGGTGGCAGCTCTGGAGCAGACACAGGGCCACACTGCTCTTAGGTGGACACACTCCTACACACTTGGCCAGCAAGCAAGTTCAGAGGCACACGTGCCCTGTCCTGGGGCAGCAACCCCATTGGGAGTCCAGGGTTAGGGGCTCAGCCCAGCCAGGAGAGCCCTTAGAGATTTGCGGGCACCTGGTGCCACAGGAGGCCTGATCTCAGCCCAGTGACCCAAGAAGTGAGGTTTTAACATAGAAAGCTTACAATTGAAAAGGGAATCTAGCAGATACGGTAAAGTACTGAAATTCACTGTAACCTGAGCAACTCAGAGAGCTCATTTCCCCCCAGATCTGAGCTCTGGGCTTCTCTCAACCTAGCATCACTCTAAGGAAAGTGAGAGCAAAGCACTTGGTGCTTTCACTGACACAAACAGCCGCTGTGTGCCAGTTTTGCCACCACTGCTCCATTTATTACTTTTTTAAAAAAAACATTCACTTGAGACAGTATGGCAGTAATTGGTATGACATGACAAGCAGTACGTATTTAGAAGACCATAATGACAGGCACTCCAAGCATGACCCTAGTATTACACATTGCTATCTTCAGCGCAGTTGCTTAGTTCACATGTATCAGCATATATAGTTAGTCAGGGTGAGAATCCTATGGAGATTCTGCTCACGTCTCCCAGGCAGCCTTGTCCCAGGAGTATCTGTACCCTCACAATGCAGCTCCAGGGCTCTCCAAAAGAGGGCAGTAGCAGGATACCAGATGCATCCTCCCTCATGGGTCACCGGCCTGAGCCATAGTGAAGCAACCTTCCGGGCTGGAGGCCCTCTGGGGCCTGACCCTCACTTCTCCAAGCCAGGGTGACTGCTTGCACACTGCTCAGTGCTAGCGCCTCCCACTGGGCACCAGCCATAGGCCTGAGGCCCAACACCACCCGCTCAGGGCCTCTCGGAGCCAGCCTCCTCCCTCGGCTCACACCCTCCCCCAGCCCAGTGCCAACTCCTAGGCCAGTGCAGCAGGCCATGGGGCTGCACGCAACTTCTGCCAGCTGCTACACCGCATGGGCTCCGTGCTCCTCACCCTGAGGCAGCGGCTGGCTGAGGGCACCCTCCTGCGGCCACTCACCCTGGATGCTCAGCATCTGGCCCAGCTTCAGCGCTGCCCCGCGCACCTTGCATAGTGTGCTCACGATGCGCTCTGCGTTGGCCTCCGACAGGAAGGGGCTGGAATCCAGCACAGCTTTCTTCCCTGGGGGCAGAAGTCAGATTGAGGTACTCTGCGGGGTCAAGGAGAGCCAGCAGCAGCGGTGGACTCCTGCATCTCTCCAAGCCCTACAGTGCAGTTCCAAAGCCCTACCTCATATAGCCCTCCCTGGCACACACAGATACACACACACCAGGTCTCTCCTCTGTACCCGGCCCTAGGGACACAGCGTCCCCATGAAGCAGCACAGTGAGCTACAGGCAGGAACAGCACTGGGAGGACCTGCAGCAGCCCAGTCAGCAGTGCCCAGGCGAGGACCACCAGTCTTCAGCCACCCACTGTACAGGACCCTGGGGCTGTCCTTCAGGAAGGGTCCTCTGGGTCAAGGACAACACACACTGTGGGCAGCCAAAGCTCAGTAGCCAGCTGGCTATGCAGTGACCCCTTAGCTGTAGGTAACCTTTGCCCAGTACCCTGGGAGGCGGCAAGGTGCCCACCCACGGTGTCTCCAAGAAGCTGCAGGAGGCCAAGTGAACCCTGCTACCAGCCGGCAGTATGACCAGGAGACTTGGCCCTCTGTCTAGATATGAACTGCACCCTACGTGGAGATGGGGAGAGGCTCAGTAGAGCTCTGCATGCTGGGGTCCTCTGCCTTCTCTGAGACCCCCCCCCCCCGCCCACCGGCAGGCATCCTGCTCTGTGATATTTGGGGCTTCTGTTGCCCTGTGTCCTGAGTCCAGACCAATGAGAAGGCCTGCACAGGGCCTGGCCCCTGCCTCGGCTCACCTTACCATGGGTCTGGAAGGCCAGAGCGCCTAGCGAGGTCACTGATGTCTGGGCCAAAATGTCTGGGGATGTAGTGCTTGCACACTGCGTAGTGTTCCACATGGGGCTGTGCCCAGTCCCAGGCAAGAGAACAGGACAAGTGGCCATGTCCCCACTGTGTGCCATATGCCTATGGTGGGGCATATGACCTGAAGGACCCAGGATACAGAGGAGCCTCCAGGGGAACAGGAACGCACAGGAAAGGAAGGCCCACAGCCAGGCTGCAGGAGGCAGGATAGGTGCCTGGAGGGTTCTGGGGGCAAGACTTTGGCCCCACTCAGGAGACCATACTAGGCCCACGACAGCACCAATTAAGAGACCTGGACCCACAAGGCCCAGGCAGCAGCAAAGCACCAGCATTGAGGGAAGCAGTTCTTTGAGGACCCTCTGACCTCCCCAGCCCCTGGGACTCTTGGGGCAGGGGAGCAAGGGAACCCTGGAGCAACCAGGCCAGGGCTGGAGGAGTGAGGTCTCCCTCTTAGGGAGTTAGAACCCTGAGTAGGCTGAGCTGACTGCAGGGCTCCCGAGTCATGAGGATGGCATCTGGCAGACTGGGTCATCCCAAGTGGCTACAGCCTATAGCTTCTGATCCCCAGAGGCAGGAAACCATCATCAGGATGGGCCAGGACCCCAGGCCAGAGACATTCGAGGGTAAGAGAAGCTAAGCCTGCCTAACAGCTGGAGCACAGTGTAGGGGCCACCCAGGGCCACCCAACCCTGGCCTGAGTCCTAACTTGCAGGACTAAGGACTGGAATCCTTCACTCCTTGCCTCAGGTCATCACTGTCCCAGGCTGAGGACACCAACTATAACCTTGGAGCTAGCCTAGCCTCTGCTCTGCTTGGACGAGGTGGGCAGGAGAGTGGCCAGCTCTGGGTGAGGAGGGTGCAGGGCCAGGCGAGGCCACCATCTGCTCCAGAGCAGCCAGGCTCCGCTTCCCAGAGTGTTGCAGTGCAACACTAAAAATACCCTTGCTAAATCCTTGTCCTGCAGCTCCTTCCAAGGACGTGCATGGTGCTACAGGTCTCCAGTAATCAGAGCCTGTGAGGACAGAGCGAGTGTCCCATGCCCAGGAGGGACAGCCCTGTAGGTAAAAAAGAGCCATCCTGGAGATGGGCAGACCCCTTGGCCCACAGCAGAGCTTGGCCTCTGGCAGCAGTAGGGACAGAAGCGTCAGGACGCCCCACAGATAGGTATAGGTCAGAGGAGTGAAGCACCACAGCAAGCTCACAGCCCTGCAGGGCAGCACAGGTAGGCTGTGGCTGACAGGTGCAACCCTCCAGGGGCCCCGCACCCCTTAGGGCCCAACTCACCTGTGGAGTTCTCGGGGCGCAGACTCTTCTTGGCAACCTCAGCCAGGGCCCCAAAGCCCAGACCCACAGCCAAACCTGCAAGAAGGGCACAGGCACTCAGAGTTATGGCTACCTGCCCGCTGCCGGGCCTGGTCAGCTCATCCTGGCATCCCAGTGTGGAGAAAGGCTGGGAAGGTGTGAGTGATGCACTGGTGGTTTCGGAGACATTAAGCAAAGGTTTATGGAGGAAAAGTACATGTGGCCCCACCCTTCTGTCAGCACCTGGGACGCAGCCTCATGGGCACATTCACGGAGCCCAGAGTGGCCCAAAAGGGGACACATTGGGGAACGGCAAGATGGGAAGAAGGACCAAACATGCCTGTGGGCCAACGACACCCCGACAACACAGAGCCTCAGGGATGCAGGTCCCACTAGCAACACTGGCAAAAGCAAAAGGTGGTGTCCCTGATTCAAGTACAAGGGACAGGAGGGAGCACAGCCCACAGTCCCCCCATACCCTCCTGGCTTCTGGCTCTGCAGGGGTCTGAAGCCCTGAGGCCTAGGCCCTCCACTGCCATTCATGGCCCTGTACACTGAAGTTCACTAACAGCTCCTTTGTCCAAAGCCCATGATCCCAGCTGTTCAGTGAAGCCCCCACCTAGAGCCAGCAGGTGCCCCTAAGCCACAGAGAAAGCCAGGGGACCTCACACAGGGCCAGTACAGAGCCAAGAGCAGTGGGCTGTAAGTGCTGATCGCAGCGGGGAGGAAGACAGGCACAGCCCCAGGGTGTGCGGCCCCCATACCCATGGAAGTAAGGGGCAGAGAAGGAAGTCTGTAGGGGCAGAGAAATGTGAATCTGTCTCTTTTTCCAAATTTTCTACAATGACTATGCACCACTTGTAAGAAAATGACTGACTTACTGAAAAAATTTATCTCATGAAAAATAAATTTTAAAAATTAAAAGGTAATTCAATTTTAAAACATATCTGCAATGCACAACACATACCAGTAGGTGGCAGTGCAGCCTCCACACCAAGGAGGCCAGAGTCCCTGCGGGAAGGCACTTGCCCTAGCACCAGGCACCTGACCTGCCTGGAACTTACTATCTGCCATTGCTAGCACTAAGCCTGCTCAAAACGGTTATAGGAGTGCACTCACTCTCCACCTCTGTGTCTGGTACTTACACAGTACACTGCATGGCTCCTTTACAGCCAGCCTCATTCCAAAAAGTTCCTGCCCTCAGGAAAAAGGGAGGTGTGGGAATGCCCTCAGGGTGACAACACATCAGGCCAGGGCATCCTGTTGTACGGGGACTGTGGAGGCCAGAGCCCAGGGGCCAGACAGCGGGCAACAGCTGCATTTCTGACCCTCTCCCCGCACCCCCCAGCCCTAGAGGGCCTGACCAAGGCCCTGACTAAACATTAACTCCCCACCGCCTGCCCACCTCACCCTACCCCCACTGAGCCAAATAAATGATAACCCAGAACATTAACCTTCACACTGTGCCACCCTCTGCCAAAGTCTCTCAGTCTTCATTCCTCTCTGCCTAGGGCAAGTCCAAAGAGGCCACAAAGCCTAGTCACAGCAAGCAGGTGCCACAGCCATGTCAAGCCAGGCACAGGCAGAGCTGTGTACCCCACATCGCAGCCCCATTTGGACACCCTCAAATGCTCAGCTCAAGGCTCCCAGGAATAGCTTGGCAAGGACCTGCTATTGAGCAAATCACTGAAGGAACCTTTCCCAGAGCAGGCCCTTGGCTTCTGCAGCCCTGTGCGGCCCTTCGGACAGGCTGGAGCCAGGACACGGTGGTGCCAGCCATGGGACAGACAGGCTCTGCATGGCAGGCAACAAGGTGTGGAAAGAGCCTGACTGACCAGCAACTGTGGCCTTGGACTTGCTATCTCCTGTTCTCAGGTGAGCCCAAAATATAGTGGCGTCATCACGCCCCTGCCAATCCAGCACAGGCCCAACTCAATCCACAGAACCCTTAACCTGTTCAGCCCTCATCCCAACAGATAGGACCTAGGCATTTCAGGAAGACAGACATCCCAGCTGGGACACCGAGTCCTCATGAGACCCGCAGAGCCAGGCTCCAACCCCCTCCCCACTCTATGCCTCACAGCAACACAGTACCACCACCCACCAATCACAGCATAATGACAGGTTTGCCCTAAGGCCCTGGCAGTGTCCTCGAGAAAAAAGGGCTCTGAAGCTACTGGGCAGTTTGGGCTCCCTCCTAGCCTAGGAAAAGGCAGTCACACAGTCCAAGGAAGCTCTTGACACATCTCAAAGAAAAGGAGGTGCTATGGTCAGGGGAATGTGAGGGGGTGGAGAGCAGGGTCTCCCCCTGGGAGGACGTGGTGCCTGCACCCCAGCCACTATTCAGTTCTGCACAGTGAGGCTTCTCCCTCAAATCCCTCCACAGGTCATCAGAGATAAACAAGACCCCCTCCCCACAGCAGTGCTTTGGAATCCGCCCAGACACTCAGGTGCAAAAGCACTACACAAAACACCTTCCAGCTCGCCGGGCCCTTCCTGAGCAGGGGAGCTGGCAAGCACACACCAGCAGGAACCCAGTGCATGCTCCTTGTGTCTTCAGCTTCCTGCCAGAAAGGCCAGGCATGTTTACAAAGCAAGGCTGAAGGAAGTCCCAGAGGCAGCGCATGTACATCTAGGGATGTGGCAACAACAACAGCACTCGCTGGTGCCAGGCACTGTCCTAGGCCACAACTGGTTGAACTGTGTTTGCAGCAGTAGGGCTAGGCAAATGCTTCACCTCTGAGCCATACCCCAACCCGAAGCCGGGGGCACCTAAGGATCCTTCTGATCTGAGAAGACCAGGAGTGCCAAACAAGCTCTCTCCTCATTCTTCACAGCTCCAGTCCGGCTCAGACCGCCTGTGACCAGGGCACTCCCTCTAAAGACCTCGTACGGAAGGGGGAGATAGTGACACTATGGGGACAATTCAAGAAGCAAGGACCATAGGGATGACAATAATGACAGAAAGCAGAGAAATGGAAGAAGCAAAAAGAAAAATTTGAGGAAAGAAATTAGTAGCAGAAGATAAAAGACAAATTCAAAAACAGAAGGCAAGAAGAAATTAAAAAGATTAAAAGAACCTAAACTCCTGACTCCAGAACAAGTAGCAAGTAAGCTGCAGCTAAAAAAAAAAAAAAAAAATTACAGGAAGAGTCAGATCTGGAATTAGCAAAAAACTGTTGGTGTCAATACAGTTTATGGAATAGATGTTACATAATATGAAAAGTCACTACAGTACATTACTCCCATTTTCTGGACACCTTAGGTGTGTGTGCTTCCCTGGAAACTGATCACTTGGAAACATTACCAAGTCACTAACTGCTTTGCAGGGTAAAACTAATGCAAGCAAAGCAAAGGCAAAGAGAAAGGCCTGAACCTGGAGAGGGATTAAAGGACACCAGGAAGGAGGACCTGGGGGCCCCTGGGGGTTAGGACAGGGCACACGTGGAGACTGAGAAAGACTGCATGTGACATGTTATCTCCTCCTGGTGTCCTCTTCCTGCTTCCCACCACTCCTGTACCCTGCGCAGTACAACCTCCTTTCCTCTCTGCTTCACCAATGCCCCCACCAGAAGTACAGCACCTTTTGTGCTGGTTAGTTAGGTGACACCGAGCTTGCTAACATATAAATGAAAGAACTCAGATCTTGCTGCTAAGGGGTTAAATCAAGGCCCTCAATTGCCACTAAGTCATAGCTGAAAAACAAACCTAACGCTACTGTCGATGTTCCTCAGCAGCAGTCATCACGTGGGAAATGAAAACCGCAACACAACAAAAAGTTATGCACCAATTACCGCCAGTGTCCAGTCACACAGCCGCTCACGCGAGGGCCTGCTGCACTGGCACTGGCTCTGCACCTAGCGCTGAAACCGCTTTGTTTTAACATTGAATGTAATATTT